TGTGTGTGTGTGTGTGTGTGTGTGTGTGTGTGTGTGTGTGTGTGTGTAGCGGGAGGGTGTGTGTGTGTGTGTGTGTGTGTGTGTGTAGCGGGAGGGTGTGTGTGTGTGTGTGTGTGTGTGTGTGCGCACGGGGGCGTCTACCTCCAGTTCCCTCTCTCATCTCTCCCTCTACTCATCCTGTCTCTCTCTGCACTACCGCCCCAGCTCTGTCCTTTCCTCTCACTCTGTGCCTTTGTCCCTCTCCACTCGCATATCTGCTCCCACCCCATCCCCGATTCTGTCCCCTTCTCCTCTTGTTCTTTGTAACCTCCCAGGTCTCTGTCCCCCTCCGAGTCACTGCCCCTTTCTCTGGGTCTCTGTTGCTCTCTGGGTATCTGTCCTTCTCTGAGTCTCTATACTTCTTTTTCACCCTCATGGCTTCCCGGCCTTCTGGGGAATCCCTGTCTCCTCTCTCGACTCTTCTTTCTGCCTAAAACTCTTCCTTCCATTCTTAATCACTTTCTTTTTTCTCTGCCTGACTCCTTCGTGTCTTTTTTTTTTTTTTTTCTTTCTTTCTTCTTTTTGGTCTTCGTCTCTCTCCCGGCTCTCATTTTCTCTGAATTTCTCTTTTTCCGCTCTCGCATCACTTCCCGACTTCTCTTTGGGCGCAGTGGAAAGTTGGGGGGGGGGGCGGCGATGGGGGGACTCTGGAGATGCATCTGCCATTCAAAACCGGGTTCCCCTAAACCTACTTGTGTGGTATTGGGAACGGCTTCTAACCTTCCAGCCTCCTTTCCCTCATTATTTTGAGGATTAAACCAGATACACCATTAGAAGACTTAAGTACGCCCTTCTGGAAGCAAAACACATTATTAGAAAAGGGTTTCCAGGAATTCCCTGGTGATGCAGTGGTTAGGACTCAGCGCTTTCACTGCTGGGGCGAGTTCAATCCCTGGTCAGGGAACTAAGATCCCGAAAGCCACGGGACCGCAGACCCCCAAAATAAAATAAAAAATAGAGAAGGGTTTCTGCCTCTCTTGCAGCAGCCTGCAGCAGTTTCTTCAGGGTTTTCTAACTGCGCGCCTCCCGGGAGACCATTGGGGCGCCTGGTCGGGGCGGGAGGAGAGGAGAAAGGAGAAAGGCATTAGGCTCCTGGGGGCACGGGACGGAGGCGGGGAAACACCTGGCCCACCGGTGAAGGAAGTAAGGAAGCAGCCAATCAGAATCTCTCTCTCTCTCTCTGCTCGGCCAGCCCTTCCGCCCCGCCCCTCAGTGGTGACCATGGCAACTCACTCCCTTAACTGGACTGCGAGGTTTCTGAACCTAGCTCCCGTGGCGCAGCTCGCACGGACTGCGCTCTGATTGGCCTAGAGAAGAGAGTGGAGCTGGGCGAGTCGACGTGCGGAAAGGGGGCGGGGCTGGCGCTTGGTGATTGGCAAGCTCTCCCGTAATTTGCATTTCCGAGAGGCGGACCGCGCCCTAATTGGCCGTTAGGCTGTGGGGTGTGGCCTGTTTCCCTGTTATTCAGAAATACTGAACAATGAATAACTGTGTTTAATCCTTACAACTATCTGGAGTTGGCCAAATTTTACAAAGAAACATGGCTCTGAAAGTTGTCAGCGCTAGTGAAGGATAATTGGAACCCAAATCTGTGCAACTTCAGAAGTCTAGACCATTCCACTACTCTCATGGAGAAATAGAATTAAAATGTTATGAGCAGTTACTATATGCTGGGCACTCTTCCACATACCATTGTATTGGCTCTTTCAGCCTCACAACCCTGTGAGAAGCCTCATCCTCTGTTTGCTGAAGGGCCTGGTAACTCCGTCTTGGCCTGTGCTCTTCCTGTACTTCCTCCCCACGTCTTTTTTTTTTTTTATTAATTAGGCTGCGCAGGGTCTTATTTGCGAGAATCTTCGTTGCAGCATGCGGGATCTAGTTTCCTGACCAGGGATCGAAACTGGTTCCCCTGCGTTGGGAGCGGGGAGTCTTAACCACGGGACCACCAGGGAAGTCCATCCTCCCAGATCGCTTGTCTAGCATTTGAGGCTTTTCACAAAATGGTGCCCCCAACCCCTTCCCACTCTACTCCCTTCTCCTCAGGAAATTTCAGCAACCCCCACATTTCAATCACCATCACAGCTAATAACATCCAGACCCCCATTTCTAGACTGAAAGCTCAGTGCTCAGGGCTCCAGCCACTTCTTGGAACCCAGACACTCACTCCTCCCCACATGAGCTCCGAGTGTCCCCCACAAGCCCACACCTTCTCATGGGTTCCCTATGTTGGGAATGGCTCCACTGTCTACGAGTCAGTGGGTCAGATGCAGGTGCAGTCCTTGCCCCTTCCCTCTTCATCCTCCTTCATAGCCTGTCAGTCCTGGCTTTGTCCTTCCTGCTCTGCCTCTTTCTGCCCTGCCCTTTTTTCCATCCATGCACCCAGCCCAGCTCAGACCTCATGCTCTCTCACCTGGACCATGGCCCCAGCCTTCTCCCCACCTCCTGCCTCCAGCCTCACTCCATTATTATTCATCCTCTGTACAGGCTCAGAAGGTCTCTTTCCCACCCAGAGTTGATTCTGCCCCTTCCCTGATCACAGCACTTTCTTGGGCACTTGGCAGTAGAGTTCAAGCTGGTGTTCAAAACCCTTAATGGGCTCTTGTCTGCCTATCTTTTTTCTCACAACTCTAAAGCCTCATCCTTCCCTGGCTTTCTTTTTTTTTTTTTTTAAATCCAAGCAACATGGTGCTGCCTATGGCTTTCTACACACAGAGGTGCTTTCCAACCACCTGGTCTTCACACACTTTTATCCCTCTGCCTGGGACACCCTCCCCCGCCTCTGTTTACTATAACCAACCTTACCCATCTTCCAAGACTAAATGCAGATGTCACCTATTTGGGAAGAAATCTCTAACCTCCCAGGCTGGGTTAGGTGCTTTTCCTGAGCTCTCACAGAGCCTGTAGCTACCTCTATCACTGTCCTGCCTGGCTCAAAGCTCTCCCAAGGAAGCCTCTACAGTGCTGAAACTGTTCTATATCTTGACCCGGGTTTTGGTTTCATGGATGTTTACATGTGCAGTAATTTATCCAGCTGATACTTGATTTGTCCATTTATCATTGTATGTAAGTTATACCTCAATTACAAAGTAAATAACCAAAAACAAGTAATTAAATGTCCCCCAAACTCCCATCATCCTCAGGGGAAAAATCAATGCTCCTCAGCCTGGCATTGGAGGGTCTATTTTTCTGTCTTCTAAGGTCTAGCCATGGCAAATAGATGATCACTAAGTGTTTGCTGAATGAACAAATGGCACACCGTTTCCTGCTGGCCGTTGGTGACATCTATGTGTGTGCCTGGCCCACATCTTGTTCTCCCTCTTTCTGCCAAGAGAGATGCTCTCCGGGTTGCCCTTGCAGCTAGGGGTGGTCATGCCAAACAGTTCTGGCCGATGAGACAGAGTCTGCTGCTGGCTCTGGGAAGGCTATTGCTTTTCTTTATAAAAAGGAAGAGATGTGTCCCCTTCTCCCTGCAGATATGACGTATGAAGCTACAACACCTGCCACCTCCTGAGCACAGGGGGAGGGCCAAGAGAGTCACAGAGAATCACAGCATGCTGGTCCCTGTGCTATGCAGACTGAGCTGTGGGTCCACAACTGCCCTCCTCCAGACTTGTTTTGTGAGGGAAATATAACCCCTAGTGCTTAATCCATTACTGGTTGTGTTTTGCTATTGTTAAGAAACGTAGTTGTCAACGTTAAAAAAACAAGAGACTTCACATAAAAACCCAATACAGGACTGTGGACCCTGCAGCACTGTATCTAGGGTCCCGGCAGTGGGATAATCCCAAATCACAGTGGCACACCCACGGGATTAACAGTAAAAAGAGCCCCTGTTAAATCACTGAACTAGACGCTGCTCTGAGGCGGCGGGATGCGTGCCTCACACTGGAGGCGGCTGGAGGTAGCAGAGCTGGAGGTGGGGCCAGGTGGGGGTCGGGGACTGGCCCAGCAGCCGGACCGAGAGCAGCAGCAGCAGTAGCAGTAGCAGCAGCAGCAGCAGGCCCAGGACTGGCGCCAGGATCAGCGGGTGCCGAGTGACTCTGTGGGGAGGCAGCACAGTGCTTGGGGGGCCCAGGGGAGCCCATGGTATCCCGGAAGTGCCCTGTCTGACCATCACCCTCCTTCTGGAGACGCCTTGGGGTGCACCTGAGCTGCTGGGGGTGCAGGGGGCGCAGGCAGAGGTGGCCCCAGACTGGCCTCCTGACTGGGACCAGCTCCTTCACCACCGGCACCAGGGCTTGCTGCAGCTCCGGCTCTGAGGGCCTGCTGGGGGGAAAGGAAGGCAGGGCGATGGTGCTGGACTTTTTCTCTGCCCCCAAGTCTGCCCCCAGGCCCTTGGGTCCCTCTACCTCTCAGGAGGGCTTCCTGGGATGTCTCCAGGGTGTGAGTCTCCCAGAGGGATGGGGAGATCCACCTGGAAGGACAAAGGAGACAAACTTGAGACACCGGGTCCTGGATTGGGAGCGGTGCTAGGTTCAGCCCGCTGGACAGAAGCGACCACATGGAAGGGGGTGGGACACAGTGGTTCAATGCGTGAGCCTCCCGGAGACACACTGCTGCGTTGAGCTCCCAGCTCTGCCAGTTTCCTGCTATGTGTCCCTTGGCACGTTCCCCCATCTCTCCAGGCCCCACTTTCTCCACGTGCTGGATGGGGATGATGACGGCACCCACCTCACAGGGCTGAAGTGGAGAATGAATGAGTGAATGTGGGCAAAAACCAAAATATCAGGAGGCAGGCTCAGAACAGTGCCTGGCAGACAGTGAGCGTACAATAACTGCGTGAGCTACTCAACATTATTATTTCCATCTTCTATCTGATTCTGGAAGTATACAGGCTCCCTGAGGGCAGAGACCCCATATTCTTGAGGAGCCCAGCCCTGGGCTGGGCCTAGTCCACCGTGGATACTGTTGTTTTTTTTTTTTTTGCGGTACGCGAGCCTCTCACTGTTGTGGCCTCTCCCGTAGTGAAGCACAGGCTCCGGACGCGCAGGCTCAGCGGCCATGGCTCACGGGCCCAGCTGCTCCGCGGCATGTGGGATCCTCCCAGACCGGGGCACGAACCCGTGTCCCCTGCATCGGCAGGCGGACCCTCAACCACTGCGCCAGCAGGGAAGCCCCCATGTATACTCTTTGGGTCCATCTTCCTGCCCTGTGCCAGGCCCAGCAGGCACTTTAAGATTAAAGCCCCCAATACTCCTCCTGACTCACTTTCCCACCTCATCCCCCGTGTCTTCCTGAAAGGGCATCCCCTCTGCAGATCTCAGGCTTTCCCACCCATGCCTTTGCTCTGTGGATGATGATATGGTAATAACAATACAATAATAAATAAAGAGTTCCAGGAACACCAACCCCAGCCACTATCTTCACCACTGTCACCTCCTGTGTGTCTGCTCTGTGCCAGGCACTTTACTACCTGATCCTTAACACTTATCCTCACCCTGAGAGCTGGGTAAAGATTGCTGTCACACTAGCCGCGAGGAAACTGAGGTGAGGCCCCAGTCTCCATGGAAGGGAGCGTGGTGTGGTGGGAAAGAAGTGGGCTTGGGGTCAGGCTGCTCAGAGAGACCATGTTGGACGGTGTGGGCCCTGAAGGGTCCCAGGTGCCTGGAACGGAGGCTGGCACACCTTCGGGGCTCACGGTTCTTATCTGAGGACTGCAGGCTTCTGACCTCGCCAAATTTCCTTCCCTCTCTTCCCTTGCCTAAGAATCAGGATTGTCACCTGCCACTTTGAGAAGCAAAGGAGCTGGTGTGGGTGGTACCGGGCAGGGCAGCTGTGACAGGTGCGGTGCCCCAAAGGCGTTCTGGGCTGGCCAGGGAGGGCCCGGCCCTTCCTGAGTGTGGGCGCTTGTGCCTGTGCACCTTTGCAACCCGGGGGTGTAGCCACGTCTGTGGTGTAGCGGCTGCGGCCCTGTATGTGTGCTTGGGGGGTCCCCTGGGAACATTCTGGCCGCCCACTGGCCTGCAGCCTCCCTCTCCAGCACCGTCTCCTCTCATTAGCTGCAGCGAGGGCATCGTTATCTCTTGGCCTGCTTGTGGGTGTGGGCAGGGGCTGGGGAGGAGCTGTGACTACAGCAGCCTCATCTGAGGGCCTGCAGTGGATGGTGCAGGGGACTGCGTACCATGACCGGGATCTCTGCTTCCTCTTCTTCCTCTCTCCTGGGTAACCTGGGGTGACAAGAAAGTCGCTGCAAGCATCTGTCTCCCCTGCCTGGTTCCCATTCGCCCGCTGTGTGGCAGAACCTTTAAAGGAGGGCTCTTAACATGGATGGGCACCGTGGAGAGACCTGGAGGATATCCTGGAGTTTGCCAACAAGCAAACTGTTGCGAGTAGGTCTCAGCATCTGTATTTTTTCAAGGGAATTTTCACCAAATTCTCCAGAGTATGTGACTCCTACAGGGTCAGGGGCCTCTCCACCTCATTGGCTTTCTCAGCTGCTACTTTCCCAGCTGATCCCCCAGTTGATCAGAGGCTTCTGGTTCTCTCACACCCAAAACACCAGAGACTCAGATCTCTCCGGGACTCCACCCCCTGGCCCAGCTTCCTGCCTGGTGGGTTGGGCCATTTTCAGTCAGTCTCGGTCTTACTGGGTCTTGAGAACTGGGACTCCAGCTCAGACTTCCTTGACTCCAGAACCCAACTGTGTGGGCCCTGCCCCCATCCCAAATCATTTCTCTTAAGTGTGCAAGCTCCAGCCTCTGCGCCTCCTATGGTCACAGCTGTCTGAGCCCCTGAAATGCCTCTCTGGGGACTCAGGCCTCAAGCTGGCCAGCCCTGACGTCCCTTGGAGACCCAGAGGTCCACAACACCTGCCAACCACCTTCGCTGGGGATCAGGGATCCAGCCTTCCAGCCTTAGCTACCAGCTTCAGGCCCAACACCCTCAGGATACAGCTGTTTCCTCAACTCCCATCCAATCCAGGCTCGTGGGCCCCAGCCTCTGCCCCAGTCAGACACACAGCTGTCTGATCCTCTGGGACTTCTATTCGGGGACCCCCAGCCCCTCTCTCAAGGTCCAAGCTCTCGCCCCTGGTCACGTCTAGGGGTCACAGGATTCACCACTTCCCTCACTCCCAGCTTCCCAATCTGTGGATCATGCTGCCCCTACCCACCGCACCCTGCTCCGATGTCCAGCCCCTACGCCAGCCCTTGTCTACGCCGCTGCTCAGCCCCCTCTTCCATTCCCTGGTGACGCTGGGGGAGGTCACAGCTCCAGGGCCCCCATCCTGCCCAATCTCAGCTTTCCCAGACAAGTCCAATTAGAGGCCGCGGCAGGCAGCCTCATTAGTTGCCGCAGCCGGGAGCCTGCAAGAGGGGAGGGGGAACAGAGAGGCACCGCAGGAAGGCAGAGGCCCCATGGAGGAGGGTGGGCCCAGACATCTAGTGCTTTCTCTATCCTCCGAGGCTGCACATGAGCCTCGTAACAGTCGGTAACAATCACAGGGCAGGGGTTCACTCCACCCCATCACAAAGTAACCGAGCTGGGATCTGAACCCAGGCTGTCTGATTCCAGAGCCCCTGATGATCTCCCAACTGTCTGGCTGCTCTCCTGGGGCACAGTCTTGGTCTCATTCATCCCACAGTTCCCTGGAGGCCTTGGGAGAGGTGTGTTCAGTGACAGTGACTTAGTGACTGAGCTGTCCCATCTGCCTGACAACTGTCTTCTTGTCTAAGGGCCTCCTATACGAATACCACTCCTAAAGGATACCAAGCAGGGCCTCCTCCAAAAGTATTTCCCCCCAGGTGGGGTTGGGTGCTGGATGTCCTTCTGGAACGATCAGGGTCTGAGGGCAGGGCTGGGTCTCACTCATCCTGGTCTGTAGGCCCAGGGTGGCCTCAGCATGAATGAACGAGGGAATGAGTGATGCACTCCCTCGGGGCTCTTCCAGGCCTTGTACTCTAGCCATCTGAGAGTTGGCGTCAGCTAGAGGCAGAGGGATGGCTCAGGGAGGACCAATCTTCTTACCACATTGATCGCTCCTTCCTTCCTTCATGAGGGTATTCAGGCTCTGCCTGGAAGTTTCTCTGTGGGAAAGAAAAGCTTAGGTCTCCCAGGCTGCAACACCTGCCAAGAATTCACCACCTGCTTCTAAGCCCTGCCCTCCTCTTGGGCCCCACTTGAGAGTGGCTCTAGCATCCCTCCAGGAGCAGAAGCCAGAAGCAGGACAGTTGTTCCAGCAAGCCCCTTTCTCCTTCAGGACCCAGGAGTTCAGGACCCCTGCGCCTCTCACACTCATCTGGGCCCCAAAGAGGCTCAACGTTTCCCTTCCAACACTCTTCTCCTCCCAAGTTCCCAGTCTTGGGGACCCAGGTCCCCCTCCATTTTCTCTGGAGACATCCATCCTTGCCTGTGGTCTCAACCACCAACTCGACACTTTTATAAGTACATCCCTGAGCTCCAGCCTTGTGCACCCACTGCCCCTGAGAAGCACCCCCCTATCCCTCAGGGTGCTTACCTCACAGGGTGGCAAGCTAAGTTCAGCGTCTTTCTGTCTACTCCCTTCCCGGAATCCAGCGCCCTCAACCCCGCTGTCAGCAGGTCGGCAGCTCTGTCTCCCTGCCCCAGTTCTCTCTGCCTGTCCCTTTTTCTCTATCCCAAGGCCCTGGTCTGGCTCAACCTTCACCCTCTACCTCTGGATCACTTTCCCAGCCTCCTCCCTGGCCTCCCAGGCTCTCAGCCTCCAGTCAGTCCCCATGTGGCCCCAGAGGGGTCTTTCTACATCCAGAGGTGACCTGCCCCTCCCTACCCTCAGCCTTCCTGTGGCTTGATGGAGAAAAGCACAACCTCTCAGCTTCATTGACAGGGAATTCCTTTCATTATCCAGCCAGACCTCATCTCTCATTAGTCACCCCCACTGCCCTCTGCTCCACAAACATGTTATGTGATTTCACGCTCTCACATCCTTGCATTTACTGTTCCCACTGCCTGGAAGACCTCTCCTTTATCACACCACTTAACTTCTTTCTTTCTTCAAAATAAACTCGTGTCAGTTTCCCTGTGATATCTCCTTCAGTCGCCTACCCAACATGGAAACTCTCTTCTCGAGGCTCCCACAGGGCCCGCCGCCCACGTCTAGCACATGGATCATCCTGCATTGGGATGGCCTGATTGCATGATCTCTACCAGGCCTTGAGCGCTGGAGAAGCCAGGCCCTGAATGACTCCTCTCTGTATCCCCAGGAGCCAGCGCAGGCAGCACCCGGAGGCCCGGGTCAGCCTTCCCCTCCAGGAGGCAATGGACCACTCTCAGCAGAAGCTCGCTCTAATTTACACTTCCCCTGAGGAGCGTGGCTCCGCCCCCCACAAGCTGTGTGATCGCCCTCTGAGCCTCAGTTTCCCATGAGTAACAGAATGAGGGATGAGGGTGCCTAAACCTCGCAGAAGCAGTGGGAGAGGTCAGTGAGGAATCCCACAGGAGCGCTGGTGTCAAAGAGAGACAGAAGCTTCTCTCAACTCAGGGAAAAAGTGAACAGAGAAACGAGTTTGTCTTTTAAGGATGATGAACAGCTTTGAAGCAGTATAATTTTCAAGACAATACAGCGTTGTTTACAGAGCTGTTAGCAATATTTCCTTAAAAAAAAGGAATTCTTCTGGCACTAACAGCTTAAAATCTCACTTTTCAGCTGTGAACACTGAAGATGAGTTGTCTTCGTTGTTTCAAACAACGTTTGAAATATTGTTCAGGTAATTACGGAAGTCATAAAACAATGGCTATTGTTGAATTCAAGATTACGTAGAGGGCTTGTTAAGTTTTTCTTAAAGGTGACATATTCAAAAGGTAAATGCTTACTGTACCTTTATGGTGTCAAGAAGAACAATTCACTTACTCCCTTCCCACTGTAGTCCCATTTTAAATAAGGTGATTCCTGACAGTGTATTTGAAATAAGGACAACCACTAGCATGCAATTTGTGTGTTTGCTTTGTTCACTTTTGTCTTCCACACCAGCAGGCCAGTCCCTAGAGGGCAGGGGTGGTGTCCTGTCTGGCTGGGGGCTCCTTGGCCAGCAGCCAGCAGGCCCTCAGTCAACATCTGTCTATGAGATGGGGAACAGTGAAGGCACATGGTGTCCCAGGCCCCTTTCCCGGCCCCTGGATCCAGTGGTCTCAGAGTCCCTCCTGTGCTCACCTGCCCCCCAGTTGGGGCTTCAGGTGGAAACTCAGCTTCCTCATTGGTCTCATTGATGACCTCCTCCCACTGCCACACGCCACACAAAGGGTTGGAGAGATCGGCGGCTGCCACTTCCTGTTTCTGGGAGAGAAGAAGTTGTTTCTGAGGCCATGGAGAGTCAGATTAAGGCAGAAGACAGGTCAGAGGTGGGATGGAGATGGGCTGAGGCGTGAGGATGGGAGGTGGAAAGAAGGTGGTGTGAGAGGTTGGGCTGGGGAGTCGGTGGGGGCAGCACCCGGCAGGGGTTTGGTGCTCAGACCAAGGACTGGGTTAGGGATGAAGTTAAGGACTGAGATGGTCCTGGGGGAACTGGGGTGGTGTGAGAGGGCTGGGTCAGAGTTGCCGCTGGCGGTGGGTTAGGGTGTTCTGGGGGTGTCAGGCCCACCTGCCGAATGGCCTGGATCTCCACACCCAGCGATGGTCGTGGCAGCTTGGTCCAGTCCACTCTCCTCACCTGAGCCCCTTCAGGTAGCCTGGCCACACAGTCAGGACGGGGAAAGCTGCCTCCTTGCCTGCCCACCACCTGTCCGTCAGCCTATGCTGGGGTTGCTGCCCTGCCCACCTTGGGGCTGGAGGCCAGGGGTCCCTGTCCTGGGGCTCCCCTCCTGCCTCCTCCACCCCTGCCATTCCACTCACTCATCCAGCCCCTCATGGGTCTGACTCAGCTGCTCCTCCAGGTGTGAAATTTCCAGCTTCAGTTCCTGCAAAGGACGAAGTGGGGGACCCCTGGGTCTCCATTTTTCCCCACCCCCCCATGCCTGGGCTCCTCTTCCAAGGTCAGTTCCACTCCTGTGACTTCTTTGGGCTCCTCCAGACACATATTGCCAAGGGAGAAGGGGAAGAAACAGTGACAGAAACTTAGGAAGCCAAAGAGAGGCAAAGAGCAACAGGAACCCAGAAGGTAACCTATCAGTCAGGAAAATTAAGAAAAGGAAGGCAGAGATAAAACACATGGAAAAACGAGAGACACAGAAACAGATTCACAGAGAGGCAAGAGACACATGGGGTGCAAGAGACTCTGAAGACAAGGTATAGAGAGAGGAGTCGCCTCAGGAGACAGAGGGACTAGACCCAGAGAGAGGCCGAGACAAGAATCTAAACAAGCCCGGCAGAGATACAGAAATAGGAGGAGGGGAGATGTGGTGAGAAGTCACCCACAGAGAATGAAAGTGGATGGGAGGGATTTCCCTGGTGGTATAGTGGTTAAGAATCTGCCTTCCAATGCAGGGGACGTGGGTTCGATTCCTCGTTGGGGAACTAAGATCCCACCTGCCTTGGGGCAACTAAGTCCGCGCGCCACAGCTACTGAGCCTGCGCGCTCTGGAGCCCGCACACCACAACTAGAGAGAAGCCTGCGTGCCGCAACTAGAGAAGCCCGTGCGCTGCAACAGAGACCCCGTGTGCTGCAACTAAGACCCAACATAGCCAAATAAATAAATAAATAAATAAATATTTAAAAAAAAAAAGGAATGTGGATAGGAGATGGAGATAGAGAGAGAGAAAGGAAGGAACAGAGGAAAAGTGAAAAGGCAGAGAGAGACAGAGAGGGAGAGAGACACACAGTCAAACAGTAGCGATGGAAGAAACAAGACGTGGAGACTTGGAAAAAGATCAACAGAGACAGAAGCAGGCAGCAAATCCCAGAGATGGCAAAAGAGAAGTGGGGAGAGTGGGGCCAGGCCAGTGGGTTACCTGGATTGTAGTTCTGTACTCCTCCAAGGTCTTGGCCAGACTCTCCGCGTGGCGAGTGCGCTGGGAAAGCCCAAAGCTCACTGAGACTGGGCCCAGCCCTCCAAAGACGCTGAGGCTGGGTGTTGGGGGGACAGGCGGGGTGGGCTTGGGGGAAGAGCTAGGGCCTGAGGGAGAGCACCAGTTTCCTGGGAACCACTCTGATCTCTCCTGGCTAATTATCCAAGGATTACAGCCAAGCAGGACTTCCCTTTGCAGACTTGGGGCAGGAGACACACAGAAGGCAAATGTTTTCCCCCAGCCCCCTCACCTCGGAGAGGATGGCGTCTCGCTGGCAAATGAGGCGTTCACACTCGTAGAGCTGCCGCTGCCAAGGAAGGAGCCCGTCCATCTGTCTGGCCTGCCCTCCCTGGCCTGCCCACTCTCCCGAGCCCCTCTCCTCAACCTCCATCTATGTCTCTGGACATCAGCTACACCGAGAGGGGTTTCAGCTGAGTTGCCCACTGGCCCTGGGAACCTGATGGCTTGACTGAAGTCCCTGATCTCACCAGACCACGGGGGCTGAAACTGGTGATTGTAAAAATGGCCTCTGGGTGGTAGGAAGTTGTCAAGGTGCTAGGGATGGGTGGCACCTTCAAAGCCTCTTTCTCCGTGGCCAGCTCCTCACTCCTCCTTTTCACTCCATCCTGCTCGGCCAGCAGCTTCTCGTTCTGAAAGAAGGGACCCTGGTCACATTCACTTCAGCAAACGGCCATGTTAATATTCATAGCTGACATTTGCTGAGCACTTGATGTGCCTTGGGCCTCATGCTCAGCACTGTCTATGTTTTAGCCCATTTAATCCTTCTAACCATCCTATGGGATCTCAGCTTTGATTTGCAGATGAAAAATCAAAATAGAGCTGCAAAAATGGAGATAAGATAGGATGCACGGGGTGGCTGTGAGGATTAAATGAGCTAATTATTATTGCTAATAGTTACTGAACACCTTGCCAGTGTTAGCTTATTTCTTATGCCCTATTTTAAAGATAAAGATGGGAATTCCCTGGCAGTCCATGGTGAAGACTCCACACTCTCACTGCTGAGGGCCTGGGTTCAATCCCTGGTTGGGGAGCTAAGATCCCACAAGCTGCGGGGCACAGCCCCCCCAAAAAATACCAGTATGATGAACCCCCATTATCCATCACCCAATTTCAATAATCATATACATTCTCCCCATTTATTTCTTCTATATTTTTCAAATTTTTTTGTTTTGTTTTGTTTAACCAGAGTATTTTAAAGTAAACCCCAGGCATCATATTATTTTACCTGTAACTACTCCAGCATTTGTATTTTCTACTTGAGGACTTTTCCTCTAGTAAAACCACAATACAGTGATCACTCTTAACAAAATTATTCATAATTCCTTAATATCATTGCACACCCAGTGCTCTTTTTTGGTTTCGGTTGTCTCACAAATGTCTTTTCACGTTTAGCTTCTTTGAATGAGGATCCAAACAAGGTCCACCACGGCTTTTGGTTGAAACCTCCCATTTCTTTTCATCTGACAGTGATCCCCAGCCTCCCCAGTCCTGGCATTTTTTCAGGTCCTTCATTTGTAGAAGAAACCAGGTCATTTGTCCTGTAGAATTGGTGCGTTTGGATTTGCTTTACTGTGTTCTTGTTCCCTGTGCAGGATATTTACCATGCTCCTCCCCCCTCATTATTTCCTATAAACTGATGTGTAGGTCCAGGGCCTTGTCCAGACTCCTGTTTAATTTTTGGAAGGAAGATTTCATGGATACTGCTATATGCGTTATACTGTGCCTTTCAGGAAGAATGTAAAGTCTGGCTGTCCCAATTATTAATTTTTACACTGAAATCATCCCCAGTTTTACAGAAGAAATTAAGGATTGGCGTGGCTAAGAAACTTGGCCAAGGTCACGTGGAGAGTAAGTGGACTCAAACCCAAATATGATTCCAAATCCTGCACTTTTGTTGTTGTTGTTTTGCAGTACACGGGCCTCTCACTGCTGTGGCCTCTTCCGTTGCGGAGCACAGGCTCCAGACGTGCAGGCTCAGCGGCCATGGCTCACGGACCCAGCCGCTCCACAGCATGTGGGATCTTCCCGGACCGGGGCATGAACCTGCGTCCCCTGCATTGGCAGGTGGACTCGCAACCACTGTGCCACCAGGGAAGCCCGAATCCTGCACTTTTAACTCCCGGACTCCTCTGAGCCAGTTGCAGCCCTGGATGAGAATGGGGAACGAGCTTCGTCCCTCATCTCAAGTTGCTCATCACTGGAGGTGGAGACCGACACAGAAGCAGATGATAATACATGAGGTGGGCCTAGGGCCCTGGGCCTTGTGGGAGCCCAGGCTTTGCAAGGAGGATGTACTGGGTCTGAGTCCTCAAGGGTAAAGAGAGTTATCTGCGAAAACAAGGGGGCTGGGAGAGGGCAGCCCACGCCAGCCACAAAATGGGATTTGAGAATAAAACAGACCAAATTCCAGTCTAGAGCTTCCAGGCACCAAAAACCTAGCAAGTTGCACTGAGTTTTGACATGAGGCAGTCACTGGGGAAAGCATTTCAGGAGCACGGAGGCAGTCGACTTACCCTTGGCCACATCCCTCCTCCTTGCGCCCCTAGGGATACCAAGGTCAGCTCCCCGCCTCACTCCAGCCTGGCTCAGCTCCAAGTCCTCCATCAGCCGCCTTCTCTCCCTCTCAGGCTCAGCGGGCCTGGGCTGCCAGGTGAAGGGCAGAGGAAGGACGGGCCAGGAATGCTGTGTCAACATCTGTCCACCTGGTCGGGATTTACAGGCTGGATCCTGGGCCACTCGGCAGGGAACCTGGTTACTCAGCCGCTCCTGCCTCCTTCTGCAGTAACCTGAGCCCTGCTCTGTACGTTCTCCTAGGAAAGCTGAGTGTCCCTTACTCCAGCATTATTCTACTGTAACTTGAGAACTTGATCTATAGATGGTCTGTAGGCAGCTGCTGAGAAGGGAAAGGTGGGGGAAGGGAACCAAGAATAGCTTGTTTATCAAGCACCTAGGATGTCCCAGGCGCTGCTCAAGGCACTTGACCTGGCACAGGCCTTCTGGGCCAGGAGGAGGCAGAGACTGCCGGCTGCCATTCACCCTGCTTATTCCCTCTCCTACTTTCCTTGGGGGTCCACTATCCACGCGGGCAGGTGGGTCCCAGCCGCAGCTCTGGAGGTGAATCAAGATGGAAATCTCAGCAGATTCAGGACAGATACCCGGCTGGTTAGCTAACCCAGCAGCCATTCTCACCCCCTCTCACTCGTTTGCCTCCCACTCCAGAGGCTGAGGAAGGTCAGATATTATCCCAGCCTCTCGTCATGTAATCCAGTGAGCTGTGAGAGGAGTCTGCTGGTGCGGGGGTGGAGTGGAGGTGCTCCTGGAAAAATGTTTCCTTCTTATGAAGAGAGAGAGCCGTGAGAGGAGCATTTGTCCCTCTTTGTCCTGCTTTGAGTGAGAACGTGAGGTCGGGAGCTGTTGTAGCCATCCGTGATCCCGAGGCCACGGGCAGACAAACAAGTCAAAAAGCTGCCAAACCAGCCCAGAACCTTCAAAACCTCTTGTTAAGTTAATTAGTGTCCTTCAGACTGAAGCCACCGGTTCTTTGGTGCTTTCTTCTTCCGAGCTGAAAGTATCCCAGACCTATCGGTGGCTGTGTTATCCATGTCAGGGAGTGGTTCGGCTATAATCATTTGATGTCACTTTAGCCAATGAGATATGAGAGGGAGGTCCTGTCATGGGGCTTCAGGGAAAGTTTCTTCTTGTTCTTTTTTTTTCTTTCTTTCTTTTTTTTTTTTTTGCGGTACGCGGGCCTCTCACTGTTGTGGTCTCTCCCGTTGCGGAGCACAGGCTCCGGACGCGCAGGCTCAGCGGCCATGGCTCACTGGCTCAGCCGCTCCGCGGCATGTGGGATCTTCCCGGACCGGGGCACGAACCCGTGTCCCCTGCATCAGCAGGCGGACTCTCAACAACTGCGCCACCAGGGAAGCCCTCTTCTTGTTCTTAAAAAGAGATGTTTTGGGGGAGAGGGTGGGATGAATTGGGAGATTGGGATTGACATATATACACTAATATGTATAAAATAGATAACCAATGAGAACCTGCTGTATAGCACAGGGAACTCTACGGCACTTTGCTGTATGGTAGAAACCAACACAACGTTGTAAAACAACTATACCCCCAATAAAAGAGATGTTCTAGAAGAAACAGTCACATCCTGTCTGCACCCCATGCTTCACACCATGGCAGCCATCCTGCAGCGAGATTCCCATTGTCCCGACAGAGGGAATTTTCATGGAAGAGCCAGGGAATGATAGTGGAAAATTTTTTGGTTTACGTGTAAAAGCCATAATACAGACATAGGACAGAGATGTGGGAGGATCAGGCAGAATGAGTATTACTGCCTGGACTGGGCAGAGATCCTCAGCGCTGGAGGAGGAGTTCAGGAAGAGTCAAAGAAGAGAACAACAGAGTGAAAATGGGCCCTGAGGCCAGTCCCAAGTCCCAGGTTAGACGGCTGGACAGGATGGATGCAGTTGAACCACAGAACCTCTGGAACATCTGGGAATCTGAGAGAGGTGTTTCCCAGCTCAGTCTGTGAAGCAGCAAGGTGTGTGAAAAATAGAACAGAGATGGCTGTGTGAGGAGCTAAGGCACAGAAGGCCCAGTGAGGCCCCTATAGACACAAAGTCACAGGAAAGCAGCTAAACCTCCTCTGTGCCCCTAAAAGGGTGTGGAGGAACCCCAGTAGCATTTGTGGGTTGTCGGGTTCCGACGAGGGATACCACCAGCAGATGCAGTGAGGACAGTACATCCAGAGACCAGAAGGCAATGCCAGCCCCCCAGTGGATGCCAGCGTGCAGTGGTGACTAAGGCTAAGGACCAGATGGGACAACGAACATCAGTCTGTGACCAGCAGAGAGAACAGACATTGACTGAGGAGCACTGAGATGCTGCATGGATCCCCAGCAACTTAGATGCCACCTTCCGTGCGGGCTTTATTTCCACCTAAAAGGAGTAGGTGGACCCAGAATTAACTAAGACGATGTTTTCTGTCTCAGAATGGGGCTTGAGTCAGCCCTGAGGCTGGACTGGGCCTCTTCATGCTATGTGTTAGGCTCTGGGCTAAAAGTGGCCATTTAATCCCCACAGCAATCCTGACGAACAGATACCCTCTCTCCTGTTCTTAGAGAATAAAACTATGGCTCGGAAAGGGCACGTCACATACCTAAAGGCTGTCTGTTGTGTAAGTGGCAGAGATGGGATTTGTTTTTTTTCTTTTTGGTCGTGCTGTGCAGCATGCAGGATCTTAGTTCCCCAGCCAGGGATCGAACCCGTGTCCCCTGCAGTGGAAGCTCAGAGTCCTAACCACTGGACTGCCAGGGGATTCCCAGAGACGGGATTTGAATCAGGGCTGACTTTAAGGCCTGTGCTCTTTCCACCATAAAAAATATGAACAACACTAGCTATCTTCTAGTGAGCTCTTTCCATGTATCCTGCCTTGTACCTAGCATCCTCTTGTTTAAATCTCACACAATCCAACCAGGGAGATTCCATTATTTTTCCCTTTCTCGCAGGTGAGGGCACTGAGGCACAGAGAAGGGCAGACTGGCCCATGCTTATGTAGGCAGCCTCACGTAACCGGGAGTCCGCCCCATGCCCCACCCTCTTACCGACTGTGGCAGTCCTCACATGCAGCCATGTGACCTTCAGGGACTTCACACATTGGGATTGGGCTTCTGAGGTCTCCCTCACCAGACTGAAGGGTGTTTGTTGCAGGCGGCTGGGGGTGTTTGGGGCAGCAGTGGGTAGGGCAGGGAGGTCCTGAGGACTGGGGAAGGGGTAGGGGTGGGCACTGGGCCTCAGCTCACCTCCTCCTGCAGACTCTCTATCTCAGCCACCAGCTGCTGCTGCTCCTTTTCCTGACCGAGCCCAGAGAGAGAACAAAGCCGCCTTTTCAGGCCTCCTTGCCCCCAGATTGCCCTTTTTCCACCCCTGGGCACACAACTTGGGCCTGGGTCACTGAAGAGCAGGACTGGGGGAATGCGTCTGGGGAGCCCTGCTGACTGCTGCTGTCCCCTTTGTCATGAGAGGGATGGCAAGTAGATCTGGATCCAAAGTCTGGGGAGCAGGGCCTGGACTGAGGGAGGAAGCCCGGGAGACCTCTGCCCTTTCCCACTCCATAGTCAGTCTCTGTTGCTCAGACTCCAAGATAGTAGGAAGAAGAGTGCACCTTTGTGCCCCTTGCCAGAAACCCACCGTCTGCCGGGCTTGGGCCAGAAGGCCGCGATTCTGTTCCTCCAGGCTCTTGGCCAGAGTCTTCAGGTCCTCCAGTTCCTCATCCAAGGCCTTGGCAAACTGCAGAGCCTGTTGGCTACTGAGTGGGGGCAGGGGCAGGTGGGCCACATGGGAGAGAGGAAGACAGAGATCACAGATGTAGATCCACTCAGAGCAACAGAGAAATCCCAGACAGAGACCCAGAGGAAAAAGGAGGGAAAGAGACTGAGTGTGGGGGACAGAAACCCAGTTTCTACCTAAAATACTAAGAAAGTGGCAGTGAGCCTGTGCCTGTGGGCAGGTGGGACACGGGGGTGTGCAGGAGGGTGGGCGGGGCCGGGCCCACCTGCGGAGCTGCTTGCGCAAAGCCAAAATTTCCTCCCCAAGGTGCAGGGAACCCTCCTCGGCTGTCTCCACACTGCGCTGCAGTTTGGCGTTCTCCCCAGCCAGCCGGCGGTTGCTGAGCTCCAAGTCCTCCAGGCTGCTCAGCAGGTCAGCTGTGGCGGGCCTGGGGACAGGGAAGGTCCAGGGTCACTGCCCACAGCCCTGGCCTCCTTTCCCCAGGTCGGGGTAGGTGTTGGTGTCGGGGAGATGCGGCTCTTCTAGAGAAAGAGAAATAGGAGACTGCCCCACTCTCCCTGCGCTATTAGCACAGCCTGTGTCCCTCACCCACTTCCCGAAGGACCCCAAGCCTTAGGCCAGGCCCTGGGCCCTAGGCAGGCTGGAGGGCATGGGCAGGGGGAGGGCAGGGAGGGGCTGAGGATAGGTACAACTCAGGTCTGGGGTCTTCGCCTCCGAAGCTCTCCAGGTTGGCTGGATCCTCAGCTTCTGAGCATCCTGGAGGGAGACAGACAGAGGGTGGTGGGCTCCCAGGTGGCCTGAGATGTTGGATTGCTCCAGGATTCCGGCCTTGGTCTTCCTTTGGCCTCCATCCTCAGATTCACTCTGGGTGATCCCATCTGCTCCTGGGGTTGCAATTATACACACCATCCAGAAAGCCTCTTGCTCATGGGTACCTTGAGCTCAGACTGGATCTCCCCATAGCCCCCAACCACCCTACATTCATCATGCCCAACATTGGGCAGCACCTCAACTGCCCCAAACTTGTCTGTCCTCCCAGTTCTCCCACTCACCCACCCAGCCCCTGGGCTGTCCTGGCTCCCTCACTCCTCCTGCCTCAGGCCTCACCTTCTCCCCCTGGATCCTCACCACAGCCTCCTCCCTGGACTCCTGGCCTCCAGCCTCTCCTCCCCTCTCCTGCCCCTTCCCTGCTCACAGCCCGGTTGGAGGAGGTTCCAGAGAATAACAAGAAAGCTATATTTTTTGACTTTTGTTTTGTTTTTATAAGCCTGGAGAAATAGAACATGAACACTTTTTTATGGAGCACCTCCTGTGCGTGAAGACTTTGGGGTAGAATGGTGAGCAAACCAGCCAACCAAACAGCAGGGCAGGTAATGAGTCAGATAATCAGATTTCTGCAGGGGAGGACTGCAGGTCTGTGCTGAGGGAGCTGGAAAGAAAGGGACCTTAGCCTGCAGCATCCCAGGCCTTCCCCACCAGGGCTTCCCTATCAGGTGTGAAGGATTAGAGAAGACACGGAAAGTTTAGGCTGAGAAACAGCCTGAGCTGAGGCCAGGCCGGAGCGTAGAAAGCCAAACTCGCAGCTCCAGGTTAGAGCAAAGGTCTCTGGAGTCCTGCCCCATCCCCTGCTCTGCCCCTGGGTGGGAAGTTCCCCACACTGTCTGACCCTGGGCCTGCCTGCTTCATTCTATATATAACAATCTCACCAGATGGCAGTTGCTGGGAGGTCAGGGTTCCCTCAAAGGCGGTCTCCTCTTCCAGCTCTAATCCCCTGTATCAAAGGGATGAGGCTTAGAGCTCCCTGCAACAACCTGCCCACTCCTGACCAGCCACTGGCAGGGGGATTGCGGGTGGTGGGAGGGGACAGGTCAGGTGAGAGTGAGCACCGTGGGGAGGAAGGTGAGGCCAGATGGCAAGCGCCCGGGGCCAGATGGAAAAGCAGGAGGGGCAAGGACTGGGTTTGGAGGAGGGATAGGGACAGGCCTCTGTCAGCCCCTTAACAATCACCCTTCTCCTCCTTCCAGCCCATTTTATTTCTGCCCCCAGACTCCCTCTGCCTCCCAATTTCAGGCACTTTGTCCTCAGAACCCCCTCCCAACCCCATCTCTACTTTTCTCTCCTCCTCAGCTTCCTTCCAACTACAGCAGGTCGCTGTGCCCAAAGGGTGCTGGCTGCAGTAAGCAGGTATGAGGTTAGATCTTAGGAAGGGTTTCGTGGGGGAGGGGGGAGGTGCGGGGACCCACCCATCCCGCTGACAGGCAGCAATCCAGTCCCGCATGATGACCAGGAAGGTGTCCAAGTCCACAGTGGCCTGAGGGCCCTCGCCATTGGGGTCCAGGCTGCAGGCCAGTGTTCGGAGGCGTGCATCCTGGGGACCCCGTCCCGTCACAGCCTCCAGGTAGGCTAGTACATGGGTCACAGCCACAGTGCCTGGGGATAAAGCAGGCTGTGAGGGAGTCGGGCAGGTGAGGGGTGGGGGATGGGGACAGGCAATGGCTTTGAAGTGGGACCACTGGCTGGGCTGGTGGCACCCCAGCACCATGGCCCTTGGGCAATGGGGCCCAGTCATCCCCACCTCAGAAGGTGGACTGAAGAGGACCAGCTGTGCCCCACCAGGTCCACAGTGGCTGCCCTTCCTCCCTCTCCCAGGCCCCAAAGCCCCACCCTCCTCTGTTAACGTTCCCCAAGTTTCCTCCCCTCACTGTCCTTGTCCTGAAAGGCCTCCATCCCCTTATCCATTTCCTTCCGGAAGCTTCCCACAATCATCCACTTCACCCTAGCCCATCCCTCTCGCTATGGCTCCCCAGTTCCCAGCCGCCCATCTCCATCCCTCATAATTCCTTGATTCTCTGACCTGTCCTCTGGGGGTCACAAGCTTCAAACGTGGAGTTGAGTATTTGCTCCTCTAAGCTGAGCGGTGTCCCCAGGCTCCCCTCCTCTGGCTGGTCCGAGAGGTACACTGAGGAGACAAGAGTGCCAGCCCACCTATGAGGAGGGGGGACGATGAAGAGCAAAGAGGGGTGATCCCAGGTCCTGGCTCCTGCAGAGGGAAACGAATTCATTTCAAGCTGCCTGGAGTTTGGGCTGGTGGGGAACCGCAGGAAGCTTTGGGTGGCAGCCACAATGTGAGGGTCTTTGAGTCACCTCCCCCATCCCCTGACCTGGGAATGTGGGCCCCATCTTTCAGGCCAGGAAGTGCCCCTGCTGTTGAATCCTTTGTGTTCAGTTGGCTCAGGAGCCCAGATACTGAACAAATACTCTGAGTACAGCCTTTCCTCCTCTCTTCCCCTGCTTCCCAGGCTCGGCTCAGAGGGGGCTAAGGGTGGAGGAGGGCAAAGAAGAGAGGATTCTGGGAGAAGCCAAGGGTGAAGGTGGGCCCAGGAGCCAGGAACAATCCAATATCGCGCGGGCAGCCTGGATCGATCACTCCCGGCAGCATCTCCGGTCTCCCAGCCTGCCTCGGGGCTGGGTCTCTCTCCTTCCCACATCCCTGAGGCTGGCGACATCAGTGCCCACGGCCTGGGGCCTGAAACGAAGGGGGATGGGGCAATCCAGGCAGGGTGGGTGGGTGGGGAGCAGTTAGGAGCTCAGAGTCCAGCTTCATGACTGTGGGCAAGTCTTTTCTCCTTTTGGAGCCTCAGTTTCCCCACCGGTAAAATGGGTGGGTAGAGTGATCTCCCCTCCCCAGGGATGGGAGGGCTAGGTCTATGTATTTGAAGAGCACCCCCTCTCCCCTGCCTCTGCACAATGTGAATATCGTGGGGTCTGTTTGTCCACTGCTGTATCCACACATAACAGGTACTCAACAAATGCTCCAAGATATAGAAGGAGCCTATATATTCTCTACCCCAGGACCCACTGGGCCAGCCCAGCCTCTTTCCCAGGGCTGGAAGTGACCTATGAGGCTCCCTGCCCTGACCCTGGACAGCTGGGTATAGCAGAGGGCCAAGCAGAGGCTGCAAGGTCTGACAGACTCAGGGGGCAATCTGGGCAAGGGACTCAGGCTCTTGGAGCCTCAGTTTCTTCCTCCGGAAAATGGGTGGGGGGGTGGTTACTTCGCTCCTGGAGAAGAGATGAGATAAAATCTGGAAAGGTCCTGGCAGAGGGCCTGGCACATGGTGGAAGCTCAATAATAAAACTGAACATGTATTCAGCCTTTAATAGGAGCCAGGCCCCTTCTGAGCATCTTACACCAACCATGGTGGCTGCTATTATTAGCCTCACTTTAAAGATAAGGATACTTAGAGACGGGCAAGTTAGAAACTTGCCCAAGGTCACATGTTCAACATATGAGTGCCCTTTCTCATCCCCCTGATTCTTCAAGGGTTCTTTGTAGTGAGCTAAAATTTGTCCCCTTGGGTTTGAACTCATGCTTCTAGGGAAGGGGAGTGGGAATGTATAGTTAGGGGAGACACCTCCTCTCACTGTGCCCCCATGTTATGGAGGAGGACCCTGAGGCCCAGTGAGGTCACCCAGGACTGGCTGGCTCCAGATGTCGTGGGATCTGAGGATCTGCATGTATCTACAGTGCAGATGTGACACTCTGCCTCCCGGGGCCCCTCAGGAAGACGTCACTCTGCTTCTCTCCTGTCTTCTTTCCTTCATTTCCTTCCTCAGTGTCTCTACCTCTGTCTCTGTCCTGTCCCTTTTCTAGTTTTTTCTCTCTGGCTCTTTCTCCCCATCCTCCTCCCCATCTCTCTGTCCCCTGAGTCCTGCCTGCCTGTCTCCATGTCCACCGCTCCCATTTTCTTCCCTGTCTCTGTGCTTCTTTCCCCACAACTCAGCGACTCTCCGTTCCCTGAGCCTTCTCTCTCCCTCCTTGCCTTCCTCGGTCTCCATCCCTTCTGGGTGTGTTCCTCCCTTTCCTTCGGGAGCCTCCCAAAGCTGGCTCAGCCCTTGGCCATGGTTCCTCGGTGGCCGCACGCCCTCTGCTGGTGCAGACGAAGTTTAGATGTTTAGATGTTGGTCCCTCGGTCAGCCTGCCCTCACTTCCCGAACCCCGGTGTCTGCCTCCTACCTTCTTATCTGGAGAGCCTCCTGAGGCCAGAGTCCAGGCCTGCTAGGAGCCTCTAAGAAAGGGGTCTTGCCTCTCCTCTAGGATGGCAGTCTCCCTCGGGCTCTCTCACTTAATAGATGAGTTTCAGGAAGGGCAACCCAGCATCTTCCTCCCGAAGCCGCTTTCACACCCATTTGGTCTGCGTCCATCCAATTATTCAAGGACTTAGCAACTGGGTTCCTATTACACGTCAGGCATTGCTCCAGTGCAGCGTGACCAACAGGGCAGCCGCTGGCCACAGTGGTTCTTGAGACCTGAACTGTGGTGAGTGTAAATTGAGGTGCTCTATTAGTGTAAAGTACACACCAGATTTTGAAGACTTAGTATGAAAAAAAGAGAATGACTCCAACACATTTTTATATTCTTGTATGCTGAAAGGATACTGTTTTGGATATATGGGGTTAAATAAAATCTATTATTGCCATTCATTTTGTCTGTTTCTTTTTTTTTCTTTCAATGTGGCTACTAACAAAATTTTAAATTACATATATGGCTCGCACATCGACCAGCGCAGCTCCAGGGACTGGGAATACCAGAGTGAATAAAACCGAGGCTGCCCTGTGGAGCTCATGTTCTAGTGGGGGAGACAGAGTCTAAACAGACAGACAAATAGATGTCAGTGCTATGAAGAGAAGTAAAGCAGGAACGGGGAGAGAGTGCGACAGGGCAGCTGCTTTACAGAAAGCAGAGATCTGAATGAAGTGAGGGTAGCCTGCGGGTCACTGGAGAGGGTGCTCCAGGCAGGGGGCACAGCGCATGCAGAGGCTTCTACTCTCCCAGTCTGGCCTCCCCAGAGCAAATGAAATAAGGTGTCCAGGCAGGTGGGCACACAGCAGGCACTTCATCAAGGATCCCTCCCTACCGCCCACCCTGCCTTGAGGTGGAGGCTCAGCCACCCCAGGCCACCTCTCCCAAGTCCCCGAGTCACAGCCTGGTGTCCCATCCACCCACTCCTCCCTCTTCATCCTCCCACGGGACAAACAGGGATACAGCCACTTACCTTCGGCAGCAGGGCCACCCGCCTGGCTCTCTGGCAGGTCCATGGGCCACCCCCGCTGCTCTGCAGCTGCTGGCGAAGCTAACAGCTCCCCCACATCACCGGGAGGGACCGAAAAGGGACCAGCTTCTTCAAGAGATCCTGGAAGGACAAACAGGGGAATGGCCTCCTCAGACCAGCCACCCGTGGATGAAGACCTGCCCTGCCCCACCTGTGCGCCAGGCCGCTCTGGATTCTCAGAACCAGTTTGCCTACCCCTGCCTGGACCAGTGCAGCTCCCACTCAGACCTGTTTTATGGACTGGAGGTGTGAGCTGGGAAAATGGGGGGCCCAAGGAGTGGGCGGCAGAGATCAAAGCGGGTAGGGTCACTCCTTCCTGCCATCCCTCCTCCTCGCAGTTTGTCAAGTTCCCCAGCCCTGTCCCTCCTGCCCAGTGACTCTCCCCTGACCCCTCCTCTCCTTCCCTATGGCCCCTGGTCAGGCCTCAGCCTCTCCCCCTGGGCCCTTGACCCAGCTTCCTGACTCCAGTCTCCCGCCCCAATCCATCCTCACAGGGCCCCAGAGCTACCCGCCCCTCCCCTGCTCAATGTCTTTCCACAGCGCCCAAGCACTCCGTGGACAAAGCCTAGACCTTGGACTTGATATCCAAGGCCCTTCATGGCCTGATCCCACCTGTCTCCCTGACCCCAAATCCCACTTGCTGATCCAGCAACTCTGAACTGTGTGCTGTTCCCCAAACTGAGCCAGTTCTTCCCACCTCCAGGTCTCTGCCTGGGACATCCTCTTCACTGGCCCTTCCTGTCTCAGCTCCCATGTCCCCTCCTCTGGAAAACGTTTCCGAAAGAGGGGCTGTCCCTGGGTTCTCACACCACCCTGGGCTACTGACATTCTTGCCCTATCAGCTTGTATTTGGAACTGCTGGCTTCGCCTGTGAGTTTGATCCCCACCTCTCTCCTGCTCCCAGCCCTCCCATGGCTCCCTAGTGCCCTCAGTTGGAACCCCCCAGCAGGCGGCCCGGGGCACCGAGGCCATGGGATCCAGGCCGCAGTGAACTGACACCAGAGGGCCCCACACCATGAAAGTGATCCCCATGGGGATGGGAACCTGGCAGGGTGTCCTGGCACCACTGGGCGCACATCAGGAAAAGTGCCCTCAGGGCTAAGTCCAGCCCCTCAGGCTGGTGCAGCACAGAGTGGTCCCTGAAACTCCCGGCTTCTTCTTGCCACTTTTCTCTCCACTGGCCGACCTCCAGGTCCCTCACGGCCCATATAGGGACTCAGCATCTTCCCACGGTCCTCCCAGGCCCAGGCTCCCAGCTCCTCTGGGGAGCCTTCCTTGAGTGCCTAGAGCAGTTAGGGACTCCCTCCTTTGTGCCCTGACAGTGCCCTGACAGTGCCCTGTCCTGCTTCCATCATACCCAGGTTGACCCTACGACTTACTGTCCCAACTCCAGGACACTTTCAAGAGTGAAAGGGGAGCTACGAATAATGACAACAGACAATGGTGCCCATATAAGGCTGAACTGGGCACACTGGGGCACACGATCAACATACGGTCACCTGGGGCCTGTCTGTCCTCACCCCACCCACTCAGCCCCCCCTTTCCTCACCAAGTACTCCCCACGCCCTGCTCTCCCTGGTGCCAGACGGGGTCCACAGCTGTGGAGTGCACACTTCCTGGTGGCTTTTAGAAGGTCCTAGAAAAAGGGGTCTTTCGAGACCCTTCCAGAGTGTGGACCAGGCTGGGGGGTGCAGAAGGGGGGTCACGGCTGTGGGGCCTGAGTGGGGAAGGGTCCCTGCGAGCGAGGGTGCTGACAGGCCCTGGGAGCCTCTGACAGGGCTTGGGGGACACACTCCTGGTGAGGGACCGAGGGAGGCTCTGGTGGACCTCAGGGGTCTTTGACGGGGAGATTCTAGCAGGAGGAGGACCCAAGCAAGCATTGTGGGGATTTCAAGGGGGTCTCTGACGGGATTTCTGGGGAGTCTCCGGATTTCGGGGGAGGGCGTCTCTAACAGGATTTTGGAGGGGAATCTGACAGGATTTTTGGTTTCTGGGGACCTCTGGCAGGACTTGGGGGGAGGGTTCTGATAGGAGTTGGGAGGAGCGAAACAGGGTTTGGCGGGGGTGTCTCTGACAGGCTCTGAGGGAGAAGTCTGACAGAATTTCTAGAAGATTCTGACAGGATTTCAGGGGTCATCTACAAGATTTCCTGGGGGGTTCCTTTCAGTATTTCTGAGGGGATCTGGTCAGGATTTCAAAAAGACTTTTAACAAGCCTTAGAAGGCCCTGATATTGGGGACTCTCCCCTAGGATTTGGGGGCTCTGCCAGGATTTCAGGAGGGGCTCTGACCCGGCTGGTCCGGGGAACCTCGCCACGGCCAGGGCGCACCTGAGGCCACGTCCCAGTCTAGGGACACAGCTGAGGGCCACGAACGACAAACAAACGGCACCTGGGTCGTTGAGGAGAGACGCCTGCGCTGACCCCGCCCGAAAAAGCAAAGGCGGCGGGGTGGGACCGAGAGCGCGCGCGGCGTCTCAGAGCTCCTCCCCCGACGCAGGCGCACACGGGGGCCAGGCGTGCGCGGGTGTAGTCGGTTACCTGTAAGGCCGCGCATGCGTAGGGCTGCCGGGGCGCGCGACCAGGCTCGTGAAGGGGGCGCATGCGTATTGGCCGAGCGGGCGAAGGGTGAAGGGACTACAGCTGCCGGGAGAGGGCGGCGGAGGCTGCGTCACGTGCGCTGGAATCTTCTCTACGCCCTCAAGCCTAGGTGAAATGGGCCCAAGCAAGGGAGCGTTGGCCTGAGGGACCCCTGGTCCATCCCCCACTTCTTATCAGTCAGCAAGCCGTCTCCCTTTTGCCCTCTGTTCCGTGCCAGGTTGCCGGTCACCGTCACAATGATGCCCTGCCCTGTCCTGCCTCGCCTCACCACTCTCATGCCTTTTTGTGGCTCCAGTCACCATGTATTGATAGGTCCCCGAAAGATTCTTTCCCAAACCGTTTTATTCATTCCTTTTAGGAGAGAGTGGAGGAAAAATAGCCTCAGCTTTTCTGGCTAGAGCGAGGAAGAGAATTATATCCCAAATTGACTCCTAAGGAGGGGCATTAGGGGTAAAAGATGTCCCACGCATTCGGCCTCTTTGCTAGCCTAGACACAGAAAAGGAATCATTCTGCATTCTTCCGTTCATCCCATCCTTATTCATTCAAGTGTTACTTCCTCAGAGAGGCTTTCCTCTGACACACTGCCTGTAATTCAGACCCCCCATCTCTCTACTTACTCTTTTTTATTGGTCCTTGTGGCACGTCTCGCCACGTAACATATTCTATATTTGTGTACTGTCTTTGTCACCCCTCACTGGAATGTGAGCTCTGAGCAGTAGGAGGCTGTTTGGGGACTAGAACATGGCTGGCCCAGTGTGGGCGCTCAAAATTTTTCGTTGAGTGAATGAATGAAGGGACAGAATCCGTGCCTGGTAACCACTGGTCAGTGTTAGAGTGATGATAAGGCTGGAGTCAGACATTCTTGGGTTTGAATTTTGGCTCCATCACTTCCTACCTGTAACCTTGGCACAATGGCTTACCCTCTCTGAGCTTCAGTTTTCCTCCCAGAAATGGAGATAATAATTACTTCTTAGGTCACCTTGAGGACTTAAGGTGGTAATCCTTGTTAATTGATAGTTATTATTTTGGCTATTAGGTGGCAGCTTGTTATAAGACCTGGGAAAGAACCTGTTTGACAGGTGATGTGGTGAATGGTTAACAGTGTGAGATAGGGAATCAGACAAACCTAGTGCCATTGCTCTGTGACTTTGGCAAGTGATTTCACCTCTCTGAACCTCAGCTTCTTCCCTAAAATGGGAACAAGTAATATCCACCCTATGGGGTCTTATGAGAGTTCAATAAGAATGTTTGCCTAGGATTTTCTTAGCCCTGGCTGGTAAGTGTTGGACATCGTTAACTTTATTAGTATAATTTCATTCTTTCATTTTATTCCTTCAGTATTTCTTGTTTTTTTTTCCTTTTTTTGAGGAAAATAATTCTGTAAAACCTAAAATAATTTAAAAACCATTTTATAGTGTAGTTATACATAAAGTGCTAAATCTTAAGTTATGCCTCAATTAAATTTTTATAGAGTAATACGTTAATGAAACCATCCATATAAAAAAAGAGTATTGCCTGCAGCCCAGAAATCTTCACACTTCCTCTTAATCATTACCCTCCAAAGGTAACCACCTTGAATTATGGCCTCTTTTGCTCAGCGTTATATTTATAGAATTCATCATGTAGCAGTAGGTCATTTATTTCACTGCTGTGTAATATTCCATTGTACGAATACGCCACGACTGAATCATTTTACTCTCGATGGACATTGGGTTGTTTCTGCTTTTTGGCAATTAAGTATACTGTTACTATGAATTATTTATCCAGATTTTCTTTAATTACTCTCAGTAATGTCAGAGATCTAGCAAATCTTTTGTTAGGTTTATTCCTAGGTATTTTGTTTGTTTTGCTAATGCAAATCATATTTTTAAAAATTGCATTAAAAATCTTTTTGTTCCTAATGTTTAGGAATATAATTGATTAGGGTATATTAATCTTATACACAGTAAAGGGTAGCAGAATATGCCACCCCAAAATATCCAACTGTGGCATAAGGATCATTTTGAACTGAACACAATTGAGAAGAAGCAGATACAAGAAAAGCTCTCTGCCCTTACCTATTTGCCTAAAAGCTGGATATAAATTTGTTTTGTTTGTTTGTCTTTTGACTGCACCATGTGGCTTGCGGGATCTTAGTTCCCTGACGAGGGATGGAACCCATGTCCCCTGCAGTGGAAGGTTGGAGTCCTAACCACTGGACCACCAGGGAATCCCCATGGATATAAATTTGTAAAGGTGTTCCCTCTCCCCTCTCTACCAGGAAGGACAAAAGTTAATAACTCTAGACCCTTGTCCACCCAGACACAGCACCAGCAGTCTCCCCAAGGGTACCCCCTCCCTTGTTGCTAACAGCATAGATTACTTTTGCTTGTTTTCATACTCCGTATAAGTGGAACCATATAGTATATACTCTTTTGTGATCTGGTTCTTCTGCTCAATTGTTGTGAAATTCAGCTATACAGTTGCATATAGTTGTAGATCAGGAAATCTTTGCCTTTATTGGGAGTATTTAGTTCCAGTTACTTAAAAAAAAAAACCGTTCATTTTGAAAAACCTCAAATATATACAAAGTGAGCAGAACAAAGCCCCATGTACCCAGCTTTAACAATGGTCAACATTCTGCCATTCTCTTATTTATACCTGTACCCTCATCCCACTTTATATTGTTATTTATTTTTTTTAACATTTCTTATTTTCAGGTAAACTTTACATGTGTTAAAATGCACGAGTCTTAACGGAACAATTCTGATGAAGTTCCATTTAGTTATTTTATTTTTTTTTTTTTTTGCGGTACGTGGGCCTCTCACTGTTGTGGTCTCTCCCGTTGTGGAGCACAGGCTCCAGATGCACAGGCTCAGTGGCCATGGCTCACGGGCCTAGCTGCTCTGCGGCATGTGAGATCTTCCCGGACCGGGGCACGAACCCACGTCCCCTGCATCAGCAGGCGGACTCTCAACCACTGCACCACCAGGGAAGCCCTCCATTTAGTTTTAATGTAATACTGATATTTTTCTTTAGATCTACCATTTTGCTATTTGTTTTATATTTCCCCCATCTAATCTGTTCTGTGTATTCTTTTCTTTTCTGGCTTTCTTTTATATTAGTCAAGTTTTTTGTTTTTTTTCTCTTCTGTTATGTTTTATTCTTCTTCTTCTGTTATGTTTATGGTTATGTTCTTTTATTCTTTTTTTGGTGGTTTTCCTAGAGACTACCATAGGCATCCTTGGCTTATTAGAGTTCTACTTTAAATTAGTACTTTTATCATTTCTTGGACTACGTGAGCACCTAACAACACTTTAATTCCATTTAGCTCCTCCTGCCTGTTGTCTTGCATTTTATTTATTTAATTAATTTATTTACTTTGGCCGCACTGAGCAGCTTGTGGGAACTTTTTTTTTTTTTTTTTTTGCGGTACGCGGGCCTCTCACTGTTGTGGCCTCTCCCGTTGCGGAGCACAGGCTCCGGACGTGCAGCCTCAGTGGCCATGGCTCACGGGCCCAGCCGCTCCGCGGCATGTGGGATCTTCCCGGGCCGGGGCACGAACCCGTGTCCCCTGCATCGGCAGGCGGACTCTCAACCACTGCGCCACCAGGGAAGCCCAGCTTGTGGGATCTTAGTTCCCCGACAGGGGATTGAACCCGGGCCCTTGGCAGTGAGAGCACCGAGTCCTAACCACAGGAATTCCCTGTCGTTCATTTTAATTCTGCATATATTTTAAATTCCACAAGATATTATTGTTATTGTTTTAAGCAGTCAGTATTCATTTAGATTTGGCACATACTTACCTCAGGGTTCTTTATATCTCCCCTCATTACCGAACTTTCATCTGGAGGCATTTCCTCCTACCTGACAAACTCTAGCATTTCTTTTTGTGCAGGACTGCTGCTGATAAATGTTTCGTTTCAGTTTGTCTGAAAAAAATGTCTTTATTTTCCCATTACTTTTTTTTTTTTTTTGGCTGCATTGGGTCCTAGTTGTGGCGTGCGGGCTCTCTCATTGAGGCGTGCGAGCTCAGTAGTTGTGATGCGTGGGCTTAGCTGCCCTGGAGTGTGTGGGAACCTAGT